CTCATATGTCTGTTTGTCACTGATGTGATGGAAAAATGATATATTGCAAATAATTTAGCAAAGACTGGAGCTTGAATCAAGTCACTGAATGAATTATAAATACTGGGAGAATCAGTTATATAAATGCAAGTATATCCTTCTTCTGCGCCTGGCTGCTGAGTCTTACGCCCGTCTAGTCACAGTGACAGTGAGTCAGTGGGTCAGGATGTCTCATATGGACTTCCCATCAACCCTTTGGACATGGAATCCCACAGCTAGCTTCACGCACTCAAATAAAGAAGCAGAATGGATAAGCCGCTCCTTTGACTGAAAGCGCACAGAGCTGCATTCAAGTTATACAAACCTGTTGTTACACAATAGCCAACCTGTTTCAATTATTTAGCTCGAATCAATAATTAAATAAGTCTCTCGCAATGTGTACAACATACAGCTATACATACGGAAATGGGGCTATGACGTGTGCACTGCAGGGTAAAGAAGGAGGGATCAGCGATGGGGCACAGCTAGGAGAGTGGGCCAGATGCTGCTATTTCTGGCTTTTGTCAAAAGCAGCAAAAACCTTCTTCCCTAATACGTGGCACAGACCTCTAATCCTGTGGGTGTGAGGTAGAATGAAAGCGAGCGAGGGAGGAAGAAAGGAGGCAGGAGAGATAAATGGAGAGAAAACGCTGTTGGGAGTCGTATGAATCTGCTTCACGCCCCGCTGCCTTGATTGCTTTCTATTTTTACACACTGCTGCCACCAAGCTACGCATCCCAATTGGTCGCCACGGGAACGCCAGACAGCAGAGCAGGAACAAACACTTTCTCACTGGTCTCCATGGAAAAAAAATGCTCTGGAGCACGGTGCAACAGGAGGCAATGATGGCAGCGGCGAAGTACGTGCCACAGACACAGAACACCTGGGTCACCTCTTCTGCGGCTGCTCGGTTAATAAGAAAAACACTCAGCGATACCTGCAATATCACGCTCATAAATCAATCACCTTATTATATTGAGAAGTGGTGCTGCAGGACTGAGGCTTTGTCAAGTAATGTGTTATGTTATCTCCACTTAATCAGAATTGGAAATCTGCCGTCACCGTGTCTGGACCTGGACACACGGCTGTGGAAAGCTGAGGTGTGGGTTCTTGGAGGCCTGCAATGTTTTTTAAACGATATTCTTATGTAACTTGAGGCTGAATTGGGGGAAGTTATGCTCGCTGCTTGCAGTTTATTTTAACACAATATGACACTGGTAACCAAAGCTTTTCACAGATCCTCATATTTTAGATATTCTCTGCCATAAGATCTGAGTTCAATTCTTAAATTCATGTTTCTGATATACACGATCTTATAACATTCTGCTTCAGGCTTTACAGTTTTACCTTTGCCGAATTATTTAAAAAAATCTTTCCTGCACCTGCTGAACGGTCACATTTGGCAACTGGGTCAAGACCAGAGAGGGTGTCGCACGTCTTACTGCTAAGCTGCAACTATTCTGGGCATAAACTACGGCGCAGCCTTGGTCCGGTCTATTCTGGTTTCTGGAAGTGAAACGAAGAGGATATACCAAGTAAACAAGTTCATCACGTGAAATTCTTCAAAGAGCTTTTTGTTTGTGAGGGGAAATTAAACCAAGGTTATCTTAGCTGTTCTGTGTATTTAACGAAGATTTCACTGTTAATGGGACGACTAATAATGTAAAGAGAACACAACATGTATTGTTTCTGTTTCAGATTTGTATTTTCAGAGCTAGTTTTGTCATCTCTACTGATTAAACATGTGTATTCGGTGCTATAATATTGTCCTCTACATGTGCATACTATATTAATGTGCTTAACATGAATGGAAGCTGGATTTAAGCACAGAAAATGTAACTTCAGCCACTAGGGGTCTCACAACCAAATTAAACACCCTGTTACCTTAGATAAAATCGTGGATTTCTCTGGGAGTGAACATTGTTGGAAAATGTTTTGGATATTGTAAGTCAACAAAATATATAACATATGTGTAGTAATTTTTAGACATTTTAGTGAAGAATTTTGACATATTTATATCTTAAGTTATCACAAAGGTTTCAAAAAAATGAAATTTGACTATTAGCAGGACAAGAAAAGTGTGTCCTCATTATTTCCTGTTTCCAGGGAAAATAATGTAAGTACATTATACCTATTTGAATAAAACTCACATTTTTATCAGCTGCTAACTCAAACCTATATTTCATATTTAAGCCTTAGACACAGGACATCATAGACCTCAGTGTGAACCTCGAACTCGACCTGAGAGAGATGATTCTTTGCCCTCTGGCCAAATGAAGGAGTGGAACTCTTCACACCGGAGCACTCGAGTCATCTCCACTTTGTTTTGAGAGAGCTATCTTTGCTTAAACAAACAGTCCTGTCCAGGTTCATCCTGCTCGTGCCAATCCTAACTCGGCAAACACCTGCCAATCAGTTATCAGCGACAGCTAGTGGCTCGGGGAAACAACACTACCTTTGTGTGTCCCCCCTCGCGTGCCAAGCTCTCAGAGGACTTTAATGAAGACAGACAGGAAGTGGGGGAGGAAGGCCTGAGCAGGAAATGACCACATATAGATTCAGGAATTCAAAGAGCAAGAAATAGTTTTTTATCAGTGCAACAGAGTCAGGCGCAGACACTGGGGAGATGAGTTAACCAGGAATGAAAGGATAAAAATGTTGTGTTTGAGGAGAAGAGAGCAGTTGTTTGCTTAAACCTGCTTTTTTACAGTGTGAGACAAACAATGTTGCAGTACAAAGCCTCTGTTATTTTATAAAATATGTCTTCAACTGGTTATTACACTTGTGAGTCTAAAGGTAGGTTTTAAAAGTGTAAATATATATCTTTAAAAGAGGTATTTCTGTTTTAAAATGGTGTGATTCAAAGAAATTACAATAAATAAAAGTTGCCATAGCTTTCATTTACCTTTCTGATATTTAGTCTTGCTTTGCAGTTACTTTAATTTACAAGATATAATTTCTTTGCCTGATCCTTAAATTGTGTATACACGCAACATGACAGGCCTGTAGTTAAATAACTCAACAAGTATAATTGTTTTTCACTGTAATTACAAGAGACACAGAAGGGAAAGGATCATAATGCAATTTGGTGACCTCACAGCCCAATTATGAAGTTTGGAGCTTGGCGAGCACTTGCAAACCAAGTGAGGCAGGAATTATTCTTATTTACACAGTCGTCCCCAAAGGGTTCCTCCGACTTTAAACCAACAAACCTGAGCTGCTTTTTGGTGGAAACCTGCGTTGTTTTAAAATAGTTTTTAAAGCCATAACTCAGGAGAAATTAATCTGCTTTAATTCTCCAGTTCACCACCGAGGAGTTCAAAGGGGCCTCGCAGGTTGGTTTATTATTGTAACATAGGGACAAATGTGGTTTCCTTTAAATAATGGCAAGATAATTTCAGTACAAATAACAGTAATTAAAATTTAAACTTGTGAAGCGAAAACACGCGATTAGACTGCTTTGCTGGCCGCGTTCAGCTGGTATGTTTAGGAATAATCCAAATAGGAATAAGGCAGGTTTAGGTTACGTTTCTGGCATGCGTCACCCCTTCTGAAAGTTTTGTGTTGAGCCCTGGAGGAAAGAGGAGGGAGCACGGGGTCATAATGAGCCTGACTGATGTCATTAGCAGGTCATCAGCAACCTCAGGAAATACTTGCGGAGGACGCCGACCTTTTGATTGACACAGGTCAAATAAACGCTAACTGTATTAAAAACCTAGCCAAGTAAATGGAGAATTAATAATACACAGCATCATTTAAAACACTCATGATGAAATATTTTTACTTTACTGTGTGTCTGTGCACATTAATGTACAGATGTGTTTGAATTTTTGTCTGTGCTATGTGTTGAGTGTGTGTGTGTGTGTGTGTGTGTATGTGTGTGCAAATTAGCAAACCTGTCTTCCTCAAGGGGAAGTCGTCCTTGCTCTCTATGGGTGATGGCAGAGTGTACTGGCAGTTGGGGGATGTGCCGCCCAGAGGAGAAGAGCTTTGGTCCAGTGATGTGTGATGAGAAGACCTGATCACACAGATGATCACACAATTGATTTAAATACAGTTGTTTCAATATATATAAATATAAATATATAATTTAATTCCAAAACAGCTAAAGTACTTACGTGTACCAGAGTTTTGGGTGGTGCATGAAAGAATGACTGGCTCCATTAGTAGCAGGGTCCTTGGCTGATTTGCTCAACAGAAACTCTTGGAGTTTCTGCTTCACTTCCGTACTGGCCACTGCACCTGTGAGACCAAAAGACGGAACCAAAGGGATTGGGGTCACCCTAGGGCTATGACTCATGACATATTATTGCCAATATAACATTAAAAATCAAATTGTGACCCTTCTGTGACTCATAGATTTCGTCATCTGTTTCCCTATATCACATTTAAATCACTGCTGGAATTGAAAACTGCCCTGAATCCCCAGAATTCCATTTTTTTCTCTATAATCTCACCAAAAACAGAACCCACCACTTATGTAGGGACATCTCCCCCTAGTGGTCTATGAGCACCATATTAGTTCAAGCTGCTGAAGTGATACTGCCGAGCGATGTTCTTTCCCACTGGACGGCTACAGTTGCAGGGCACAGTTTCAAATTACCTGACCCGACAAAGTCCTAGATCTAGTCTATTATTAGCTATAAGGTAAAAACAGATATGAATCACTCTCTAAATCTATTTTGATCAGCTATTGAGAGATATGCTCTCCTAAATTCAAAGCTTAAATGTCACCTGCCAACCTTATGTCATCAGTTGAATGTTCCAGTTCAGTACCATCGTGTCATCATGGTACTTCTACTCTTGTATATTTCTCTATAGCTGATGAATTAAGTTAATTTCAAAATTGTGGTTTGCCTTGTTTCCCGGCTGCCTGTAGGACAGTTACATATCATATTGACATGTTTTTTTATCCCATTGCAAATTGAATATCCTGTGCTGTGAGAATGATTTACTGTACATAATTTCTTTATTTACGTACAGCTATACTGCTGGATATAATCCCACTGGCCACTGGATATAATCCCACTGAGACTGTCATTAGTCCTGTTCAGGGAGAATAGGTGATCTTAAAGTGCTGCCAGATGGCAAATAAACACAGTGATTAAAAACACCCCTTATATTACAATACAACACAATATAATTTCATGGCTCAATTATAGCTAGTGTGTCAACATAGGCCAATGTGGACCTCAATGATAATCCTAACATATGACTGGAATACTGTGATTATTTATATACTGGTTGCTGCAGAAGATAAAAAGGGGAAATAAAAACATTATCAAATGTCATATCAGTTGTTTTTAAGTACAACCATGTCTGTCGATCTTTACCGCAAAAAGATCTCTGAATATTTCAGTAAATCATGATGATGATAACAGAGCATTTTTATAACTCTGTATGAATACTGCATATGAGTATTTTCTCATTCAGTGCAACATCCAGCTACAGGATACCATTCTTATAGCTGCTCTCTGCATATTATGCTCAGGCCCCACTCTAAGAAAATGCATTAAAAAGATGATTGAAAAGGTTGAGGGTTATAATATCAGAGCCTCATGCTTGCTTTTGCCTGGGGGCGTCAAAATAGCTAATTCCGTCCCTGATGGTGAAGAGATCGTGACGGTGGCGGTGTCAAGCTCTTACTCTCTCTGGAGCGCTCCTTGCCCCTGAGGCTCAGGCTGGAAACATGCTGCTCTCGTCGATGCCTCTCCTGCTCCTTCTCCTGCTGGTTCTGCTGCTGCTGCTGCTCCAGACGACGCTCCTTCTCTGCGAGTTCCTGCTGCTGCTTCATGGCCTGGAGCTCCTGCTGGAGCTGAGGAAACATGCAGGCCTCGAGTCAGCATGAAGCACACTGATAAATGTATTTTTAAAACAAGAGTGGCTCCTATAAACTTCTGCAGTCTCTGTTTTGCTGTGATGGACTGATCTGTACTTGTCTGTAAAAACAGAGCTCATGCTGGGCTGTAATGTCTTGCTCAACACCCTGCCTTGCTGTGCTGTGAGTTTTCTTCTTCTCTACACTGTGTAATGTTGATGTCCTGAGCCATAATGTTTTTCACTGATCTGCACTATGCCATGCTGTGGTGTGCTCTGCTGTTTTCTACACTGCGGTGTTGTGTTGTTCAGCCGTGATCACTGCTGTGCTGTCGTTCGTACAGCTGTTCAATGCAACACTGACCTTAAGGTGCTCCTGAAGCTGAGCCTGATGCTGACGGGTCAACTTCTCATGCTGCTTCTGAAACTCGCTGATTAGTAACTGCTTCTGGATCTGCTGCTGCTTCTGAATGAGGAGCAGCTCCTGCTGCAGCTGCCTCTCCCACAGTCCTGGGTCCGAGCCTGGCCCCAGCATTCTCAGGTCTGTGCGCAGGTCCAATGGAGATAGGGGATCCACAGCCAATGGCACGTCAGTCTTAATGTCCACTGAGGGAAAAGCAGAGGAAAAGAGGTTTGTCAGTCCTTTAGTGCATCTTTATTTTTATCAGTCCCAATCAGGCAACAAATAAGGTTGAGTTAGGAAGGACAGGAAAAAACAAACATGAGTTTTAAAAATGTTACATTTAAAATTAAGGAAAGATTGAAAGAAAGCTCAGAGATAATCGCTCTCTCCCATGATCCTCAGCAACCTGTAATTATAATGTCACTGTAAACACACTCAGGATCACATCATTCAGAAAGGTCCACTGGGAGCAGCTGTATAACAAACTCAATGGACATTTGGCACGAAACGTTGGAGTGGTCATTTAAGTATTTACATAAATCCTATCTTTCCACTGTTTGATAAATAAATAAAGGCAGTCCTCGGAACATCATGCCGACATCCCTCCTCAACATAAATGATTTAAGACCGAGTCGCTTGTGAACCTGCGTGTGTTTATGAATTCATGATACTGCGATGATTTCGTCTTTGACTGCAAATGTGTGCATTGGTGAGAGCTGCCTTTGTCTCTGACAACTACCTACATTACATGTAATTGCCTGATACAAAGTGAGAGGGCATCCCTTTGGTCTCTGCGCTCTATATATAGCCTGTTCCACAGAGAAAATCGATTTCCAGTTAAGAGCAACAGAGACAGGGCTACTTCATCACTCAGTTCCACAGAGGATGATCAGTAATTGTACATTATGCTTTTTTATGTTTCACACATCTGTGTCCAGCTGAATTTGTCAACTGGATTCAGTAAGCTTTCTTTTTTAAAGAATCTCATCTTTTACATATAGAAAAAGCAATTTAACCAGTCATTGAACAAAATGTCCAATTCTTGAAAAGAAAATGACATGTTCGGTATGCCGATCATGGTGTGACATTTAAGGTAGGGTGAGTATTGTCCAGACTGTAAAATGTCTCATCGATTCAGAGACGACAGAAATATTCAACCCTGCTTAAAATTCCAGTGGCTGGAGGGAGATTTATTGAGTGCATTCATTGACTTAATCTTCTCAGGGGTCACATTTAAGAGAACAAACACAAGCCATGTTACGACATCACCGGCTCTTTGGAAGCACAACAATTAAATGACACATTGTGAACAATCTTTTGTACTTTGTCCTGTTATGTACTCATCCTCATAAACTATGATAAAAGTACCAATTAGAAGAAGTATTAACGCTGGGTGTAGCCATCAATTAAAATGCAGCGCCCTAATGCTTGCTGATGCTGTGAAGCTCCCCGGCGCCCATTTGTTTTGTCGTGTAGCCTGTTTTTCATTGCCACCATTCCATGTGTATGCGGCGGTGATGATTATAAATAGAAGCATAAAAGCAAGTGGCGCAATCCTGGTCTGTGACAACCCCCACACCCTAGTATCCACCACCCTAACTTGCCGCTGCCATGGCAACGGTGGCGACATAATTACGTCTCTCTATCCTGCAGATATCGAGTCTCGCTGCATGTCATCTCCTGCCTACAGTGGCAATGTGACATGTTGACTATTATATCAGCTTTTCAGCTCTTATATAAGAAAGGAGTCCCCAGCAGAGAGAGACAGGGAAACGTTACAAAACCCCTCCAACACACACACACACACACACAGACGCACACATTTTTTTGGAGAGAATCAGCAGCTAAGTGATACGATACGTTTTTCTTAAAACACCTTCAAAGAGTGTAGACAGCTACAGGGGAGTCCCGTGCTTTAATTTTTCTCTCTATGTTCTATAAACAGCTCCAATCAATCCAATGACAAGAGGAGGGCAGCGGCTCGGCAGACGCAGAGAACAGGCACCTGTAGAACACACTCTTCTCTCCTGACAGGGAATATTAATCTTAGCTTGTAAGTACTTGACAAAGGACTCTTTTCTCGCTGTTCCAGGGGCAGCCATGAACCTGTGAACCGTTGAGGGGCTCGGGGAGTCAGGCAGTCTTAGTGATACTTTGTCCTAATGGACCTAAATATAGCAAAAAAACACACATACACACACCTGCTGCTTCTGAGAATTCACCACTGTGATATCTAATTAATCTCACATTTCATTCTGTACCCTCACTGTGATTGGCATTAAGGATCTCCACTTTGATCAGCACATCAAGCTGAGCCTCTATCAGAAAATCGCAGATAGTGGTTTAACAGGATGCAGAGGGGGAGGAGGAGGAGGAGTGTGGAAGCTTAAGCAACCTTTGATGACCAAGGCCGTATGAAATGGCCCTTGAGGAAACCACAACAGCCTCCTGGGTCTGTTCTATTCTTGTCCACTGTCTGTCCACCGTGTCGGCGAGAATAACTCTAGATGGGATGACAATGTTGAGGGAACATAATAAGGTCCTAAAGGTAGAGACTGGAGAGACAATTGTTCGGGGTCTGGTGAAGCCTCTAACCAACGCAAAAATAAATAACTTCCATCTTTCATAATTGTATTATTCTTATTGAACACACGAAAAGGGTCAAATTATGCTTCTTTCTCTGAACTGTACTCAGAACACATTTGAGTTTCATATCTGCTGCCCAAAATGTACAGTAGATGCATTTAAGTCAAATGCACAGAAAAACTACCTGGAACTGAACTGAACTGTAAATACTCTTCAGGCAGAGGAGAATACGGAACCACCAGTAACTAGGGCTAAATATAAATGCTTTTCTGAGCAGGGTCTTAATATAGACAATGTGCGAAAGTCTGTCGCAGTTGTGAGGCGGCCTGCTCGATTTAACGCAGGCAAAAATAAAAGCACAGTGTTGCATTTATGTAACTTTTGGGTAAATTCTGAGATGATCACTCTCGACGAAGAAGAGACAACCATTACTGGTTCAGTGATCCCGCAGGGCCATCGGTGATCATGACCCGTGATCCGAATATATTCCGGGTGAAAGTGAGACGTCTCCTGATTGGTGGAAAGTGCACAGAAGTGTCTTCAGGCACTGGTAAACAAGAGATTTATGAATGACAGGTCCCAAATTTGTTTTTAGCACAAGGGCGCGACAAGCACCCTGCCCCATGCCCAAATTCCTCCCTGTGGAGGGCCTGCCAGAGGGGGATTGAGTGACTCACGGCCAGTGACCACACTCCCACTGCAGCGTCGCACCGCCAGTGTCCCCAAAGTGTTTATTTCTATAACCGATATGCCTCTCATTAGCCTCGGTGGTTGTTAGAGTGACAATCACAGCCTTAATTTGAGATGTTGGATGGCGGTCTTTTTTTGCCTCAGGCCACATTAGCAGTCTTCCCACCCTGCAGGGAGAATAGATGCACATCACAGTGACATTACTATGACACGTGAGGTGTCTGGAATACAAAGACACATACAGTAATGTACCATCAACACAAGGCATCACGCAGACTCAAATTGGAACTCACCGGCTTTAAAAACAGACATGAACATTTCAGTGAAAGCTTTTTTTATCCATCTACCACATAGAGTGACAACTTGCGAGAATAGGGAAATATTAATATTATAAACATTATACCGCTGAATATAAATGGTGCAGCTATTCTTACACTGTAACACATCTAGGTAGCACCTGCAGGCACAATTTGATGTCACTGAATAAGTCAAATAATATTCACCTCTGATTGTAAAAAAGGAAAAACGTGCTTAGTGGTGAAAAGTAGGTGCAAAAACAAATTATATTAACATTTATATGTATTTAGGCAGTTGGGCTCAGTAGGGTTGATTTTCAGTAATAACACTTGTGAAATTAAATGAAACAAAAGTTTACCTTGAAAAATATCAATTAATAAATTACTAGATACATATATTTGTATTTCTGCTTTGCAATATGCATGTAAAGAATTATGTACCTGAACTTTGTTACATAGGCTATACCTGCTCTTCTTCAATTTAAGACCAGTGTAAGTCCCAAAAAATCACCACAACTCATCTCTAATACAGGAGGACCTGCTGCTCCATCAGTGAAACACGTCAGTAAATCTGAACCCATCATGACACTGACCATAGATTAATATTCCCTTAGTTTTACTTTTTATTGCAGGTGACAGTCAACATAATGGTACACTGTGTGTTGACACTGTAAACATGTATGTTGCGAGCACATTTAATGTGCCATAGAGACGGTTGTTGATCTAAATTCCCTGTCTGACAGTATAAATAGAACCAGAGATACAGAAGATGTTTGAGGGCAAAAATAGGCTGATGCTTCGAACTGCAATGTGGTGCTGGGTCTCTCATTAAGTGCCTTGTTATTTTGAGCAGCTGGCATGTCTAAAGCAGGAAACAGGTCTTTATTTTTAAGACTCAGGCTCGTCCTTGCAGCTGAGCCAGAGCTGTGGCTTTGCAGGCTATCTGCTAACAAAGAGAGCGGAGCTGAGACCACCACAGGTCTTTCACTAAGGGGAGCCAGGGGTCCGACTGTTACCTGCCCTGCCATCATGCCAAATAAAATGTGTCTTACAACAACAACACACAAAACGACATGTCCTTAATCTGTATCCAAGCATAACAACCGAGATGACATAGTGTCTATTGGTGTCCCTCTGTCCGGACTTTTCATCATCATTAACCAAATACTGGCACCAGATCCCCCAGTCAATACAATTCCAGATGAATCAATCACAGAGAGTCAACTGTCTCCATTACCCTGAGCAACAGCAAAACCCTGAACTAGAGGAAAAGCATCCATTACCATATGCTAATAACACAAGCTGTGCTTTCCTACAACTGAATTTTTTTTGCAAAAAGTGCAATGTATTTTTATTTGGACTTTTTGTTCAATATGCTCTTTGCTTAATGGTTTAAAATAAATTAATTCATTCTTATAATGATCAATCAGTAATGACAAAAAAATCCCATATTCTTTTGTATTATTGTGCACATGCTCCTGAGCAGTGGGCACTTGAAACACGGGCGATAAACAGATACAGGACACAGACAAGAGGACTTGAAAGGTGCAGCATTGTCACTGTCTCTATTGAAGGGAGCTTGCATGATATTTTACATTATATTTTGCTCTCAGGGGGGAAACTAATTAGATTTCCCTTGTTGGCGAGCTCATCTGAGGGCCGTTTTTGTCAGGACTTTAATGTTACTGACACTGATCAAAACATTGCGCCTTTTATTTTCATGCTCCTCTTGAAATGCAACAGCAGAGAGGCAGAGCCTGACATAAATGTCAAGAAGCTTTAGACAACAATGCACAAATAACGTGTTTAGATGGCACAAGGATCACTTCGCCAAAAAAACTTTCATGGCAAAAGATTAATACCCTAAAACACATAATAATCACTTACTTTACACCTGGTACACAGCATCTTACACAGATCATGTTAGGCATTGTCAGGTGATTTACTATAAAGTGGAAAGAACAAATTAAAACGGGCGAAGATTTCTATTAATACCTGTTCCAAACTGCGGTTATATCAGGAGCATGCTGAGATGGAATGATAACGCACAGACGCCTAATCTTAGCAGGCTAATGCCATAAGCTGAAAATAACTCACCTAAGAATAGCTGACCCACAGAATAAGCAAGGAGTCCGGGTTCAGGAGCTCTGTGTTATAGCTGTTGTTTGGTTCACAGGCCGCTGAGACACAGTGCAGCCCAATAGTCAAATAACCTGTTCTATTGACAGAGTGGAATGTGTCATCTCTCTGTCATCCTCCTGTTTTATTTTTTAAATCTCCTCACGTTAAGCCCAGTGCCTGTTTGTCTGAAACCAGACTTAAGGCTGTGTTTTTTTATTTTTAAGGTTTTATTTCACATCAGAAATACTCGGTCGCAGTAAATACACATTCAAGAAAATCTGTTAGATTGGTTCAATAACCTGTTTTGCCCTCTTGCTGTTGGCTAATTGGAGAAAATGAAGTGAGAACTCATATTTTTCAGTAAATTTAGCACTCACATGACGCACTTTCTCGTTATGCATTCATCTGAGTAGCCCACATGACATTTTTTGAACACAATGCTTCAACTCTGAACTAAGAAAAATTTTGATCAATAGCCACATGCCAAAAGAAGAGGATGAATCTAAGCAAATAAGGTGTGACTCATCTTGAGTCAATACAGTGAACAGACGTTACTCATACTGATGTCAGTCGTGTACTCTTCAATTCAATTCTCTGGACTGTGGTGAGAGAAACCTTTCAGTTGTCCCCTCAGTATTTTTCTCACAGTTTTCTCCTGTTCACTGAAAAGTGCACTCTGACATGGACAAAACACAACAGCCCTTTCATGTTCACTGTGACTCATTCCAGGCAGGCAGAGCATGGGAATAGTGTTAACACATTTCCTCCTTCTATTGGAAAAACAACACTCTTTGTGCATGTTGGATGAGGATAAACACAACTTTTTCGACATGTGTTCACCCAGATTAAAAGCAGCCATCCCTCTGAGACACACAGTTCACAAAGCAGGAGTAAATACCTTGATTCAGGAAGAGGAGCCTGATCCTACCACGTTGCTGTGCTGAGGAGGTTTGAGTTTCCCTTTTCACACAGAATGAGAGACCAGCTGAGCGCAAATAGTTGAGAGGACGTGGGAGAGCGAGGGAGTGAATGTGTGCGAGAGAGGCACAGAGGATGTGAGACAGCAGTGAGAAGTAGGAGCGGATTCAGCACTGGAGGAAAAGACAGGGACTGGAATGCAAAGAAGGGAGGGAGGGAGAGAAAAAGAGAGAGATTCCTCTAAAGGAGCAGGAACACCGGGCTGTGTGATCACCTGAGTTGTTCATGTTGTGCATCTTGCTCTGGTTGAGGAGCTGCTGGTGTCCAACGCGCCCGTCTGTTGTGGAGAAACTTGACTCGCCCTCGTAAATCGTCTGCAGCATACTCCACTCAGCGCTCAGGTCTCATCGCCAGCCTTGTGTTTCCTGTCACCAAGAGCCACCCCTCAGCCACTCAGGGGAGAGACCACGACAACAGGCAACTCTCTCTCCCTTCCTCTGCCTCCTCCTCTGAGAGAACCACTCTTGCTGTGGAGCAATAACACAAACTGCACACTCCTCTCAGCAGGCTGCCCCTGCCACTAAACACAGTGTTAGGAGAAGAGCCCAGCTTCTTCTTTTTCCTCTCCTTATCAGCCTCTCTCTCTGTGGCTTGTTCCTCTCCTCAGCAGTGTGTCTGAGCAGAGACTGAGGAAAAATGCAAAAGCCGGGTTGCTAGGAAAACCGTGTACCACGTACTGAGCACCTCACTGAGGCAAGTAATGCAAGCTGGGGAGGGAGCGAGCTTCATTTGCATGTGAATCAACAACTGCGTGGCCCACAGGTGACAGAAATAGAACAATGGCCAGCCCTGGCTAAAAATAGGTCAGGCGAGGCACGGGGATTGGAGCAGCATTGATGCGTTTAAAAATACCACACCAAACACAGCTGTCTTCTTCAGCTCCTGCCAGAAGGCATGTCTCCTGACTCCCTCTCTGCAGATGGAGGCTTGATTCCTCCATCTCTCTCTTTTCTGATTTGTTGAACCAGTCTCTCTCATTCGCTCTATTTATGTCTCGGGTTTTGTTCTCTCAGGTACATGGGAGGAATGATCCATATTTGCCTTGATGTAGTGAAAAGAAACACACACATAAAGCAGCAAGACATGGCTGTTGTATCTTATCTGATTCACAAAACATGAAAATCCACGTACTTCCAATTTACAGTATAATGGAAAAAAATGTATAGAAAAAATATAATGCTACAAATAACAAAGCAACACTATCTTTGTAAACTCTGACAAGACGTGTCAAGTCAAATGAGACAGCGAAGGAACACTGTGTTCATTTAAGTGTAACCTCAGTGCATTAGCTCAGTGTGTGTGTGTGTGTGTGTGTGTGTGTGTGTGTGTGTGTGCATGTGGGGGGGTTCAGTGTGTATCCAGGGCAGTACTGCTACTCAGGAAGCATGCTTTCAGCTAGCTAGCCAAGAAAGCCAACAGTAAGATGCCATAACAGCATGATCCCAATTTCAAAAGCCTCTCAAACTGTGTCAAGAACACCTCTCCAGGATTACACAGCCCGTTTCCTTGAAACACCCATGCTACTGTTTTACGGTGGACTTGAGAAACAACAAACAAGACACCACAGTGCACTAACTCATAATTCTCAGCACCCAGTGGGACTTTTTCAATTAATATGACATCCCAAACATGGCCGAGATCCACGGTCAATATAATCTGACTCCAGCCCATAAAAGTCAAGTCAACTGTTCAGTCGGACCACTGACATAGGGCTGGGTTTGTGGCCAAGCAGCCTGTGCCTTTAAATTTTTCATCTTCCTTCATAATTTGACCTGTCCCCCAGCCAGAGGCGTGGAGCCAGCGCGGCTATTTTTAGGTTCTGAGCACTGACGACTGGGCTACAGAGCGAGAGAGAGAGACAGAGAAGGAGTTTTACTGTGTTGTTTCAGCTGGACAAACATTTAACCCCTCAATCCTTTTATCACAGCACAACCAAGAAGCCAAGTAGGAAATGCACAGCTTGCAGGCTCGCCCCAGACATAAGACAACTCTCTCTGATATACGTTGTGTAACCCATAATCAGAGAAAACAGGGACTATTTACATTCATTGTTATTCCTTATTTTTATCTTAGATAAAAAAGCTCAATATAAAATCTGAATAATTCATTCATTCCATTTTTATCAGTAAAAAAAATATTTTCACAGAACCCTGTGAGCTAACCAATACTCAAATTCTAACCAAAATCCCCCCTTAGTGACACATTACAGATTTGGCAAACCCTTGATCTTTGTGAATTAGGTTTGGCATAAGATGGTGTGAGAGATAACAAGCTTTCAAGTCCAAGGTAATGATGGCTAAAGACCCAGAGCTCCATCTGTCACAGTATCTATCAGAGCAGGCGAGCCCTAACCCTGTGCGGCGATCTCAACATAGGCTGAGGCATAATTAATCAAAAGAGGAACTAGGGCTGTCACATGAATGACAATTATCAAGACCGTGGAATCCTTATTTATATAACATGACAGAGCGATTTTGTCTGAAACTTGACCTAAAATTAAAAAAACCTGTTCTGCAATTTTCCCATTTATGTGCTCATTCACAAATGCAAAATAATACTATAAGTTGCAAACTCAGAGGCTGCCATTCAATAATAAAATAATAAAATTTCTGTATCTGAGTTGGATTTATTTAGTGTCTTGTTTTGTTGTTGTTGTATATTATGAACATGAAACAAAGATTTGTGCATTCATTTGTCTCATAAAACCATAAGGAATCAAACTAATTCTGTTATAGATAATTATTTTCCTGTATCCTTGATAAACCTGCCCTACTGTTCCCTTAGCAAAAAAAAGAGCCATTTCACCGGGACATGTAAGCTGCGATTAACCTACACTTTTTATTTATAACTGGCTTCCTGGGGCTGATGAGGGATTGTGAAATTGGAAATAGCTCTGTCCAATAGGCAGGGTCCAGTAAACCTGCAATGTGGCAAGCCCATTATAGCTCCGACTGCGTCACTGGCGGCCTTTGTCTACTTTAGTCCTATTAAAGCATTTAAGTGTGAACGTCAGCGTCCCTGCTGGAGAGCCACTTCGCTCAGCTCTCTCCGAGGCCGGGGCTCAACTCACTGTCACCTCCCTCATATCAAACACAAACTGTGCGTGTGTAGTGTCTGTGTACGTGCATGTCTGTGTGTATGTGTGTGTGTGTGTGTGTGTGTGTGTGTGTTTTGACATCAGAGCACAGACGTGTTTGGTGGGGGTTGTATTAGAGATGAGGGAACAAGTGGGCCAGAGCAGTGAAGTGCCCCTAGCACTTTCCAAATTTAAATCAAAGGCCATTATAGCCTATATTACAGAGCAAGAGGAACATACACAAATACACATGCATCTAAAACACACATCACTGTGCTGTTGTTTACTCTGACTTGTTCAATTCAAGTGATGCAGAGGGACTAGGAATATAACAAAGCGATACTTCCAGCTATGGTGCTTCAGCTCTTTCCGTTCTATTTCAAGAAAGTGTGGTCATAACCTGGAGACTTGTGTGTTTTTTTTTTTATATCCGACTCACAGTACCACAATTACTGTGCCAGTTCCAAATCAACTCCCAAAGTTCTGCGGCTTAATCACCACAGCACTGCTGCCTTGTGACACACTGTGCATGATGAAACCCAGCAGGGAGGCGGACTGGAGAAGGAAGGGAGCCCAACTTAAGTGTTGCAACAGATATTACAACTAATTTGATCTGGCTAGAAAATGTTTTGTTCCCCTTAATAGCGGATGATCCATGTGTGGGAGGGAGTGAGTCAGCCATGTTTTGTTGTTCCATGTTCTCTGAACTTCAAAGCCCCCATGTGGTGGCGGTGGTGCCGGGGAGAGAGAAGGGAGACAGAGGTGGGGGTTTGTCTTTTGTCAAATAAACTGATCAGTGTGAATCCCAGGCCCCATTAACACAAGCTTAATTGATACATGTGCATTAATATTTGTTTTAATGGAATGAATTCTATCCAACTCTCTGCCTTCTCACCTAGTGCTTGTCTTCCTACCTGTGTGTGAGTGCAGGGTTTCATCATGCCTGCCCAGGAGGACTGCAGCGGATGCGATCGTCAGGTGCTTATTCCTCCAGTCAGAGGGGATCTTCTTCCCCCCAGAGAGGGGCTGCATACGAACAGCAGCTTCATACGTAAACATGCTCCTTCTCCCTCTCTAGTGGCCACCCCGCAGCTCTGAGGGCAGCCCTGGTACAGGAGGGAAATTACCGCTCCACACCAATTACCTCAATGTCTGCCATCTTACTTACATCAGCCCCTGATGACTCACCGTCGCCAACTGTGCAAGAGATCCTAGATCAATTCAGGGAGTGACGCCATGACACATTGTTGCTCTATAGTCTCAGTATGTGAAATATAGCATGCACTGTTAGCCGCAGAGCCATTCTGTCTGCTGAGAGCCTCAGGTAAAGTTTTGTCACTTGAAACACACCATTTTCCATTTACCTTGCGGTCAGTCTCATAAAAGCACAAAGGCACTATGGCTGTTGATTTGATGGTAAAATCCAATTAGCCTGTACATCTGGATGTGTTATGTGAGCGTGTTTCCCCCACTAATGATTTGGGCGCTCTTGCTTTTATTGGGTTACTCTGTCTGGCATCCTGTGGTATTTCCTGTTGGACTTACAGGGTGATATAGAATGCACTTAACAGGTTGGATCGAGTAACATGAAAAAGCATAAAGGCAAGGCATGTTTTGTACTTAATCTTGAAACAGTGCCAACAAAGTTTTGCAATGCAGCAAATAATGAGGCAGAGATGAAGCCCAGAGCCAAGACCGAGGTGCTATTCAAAGTAGAGACTGACTGATATATAAAAATAAAAAATCTTTCACAGACATATCAGTGTTTATGTTTGTCAATATGCACAAATATAAAAACTTTACAGAATAAACAATGCAAAGAATAGATACATTTATGTTTACATGTTACTTCTAATGTCTAGGTTCTATATATCTGGTTGTATTTGTGTTTTCTTATTATTTTCAGTTATTTATAATAAGGTTTGTGGTTAAACTGTTTATGGTTACATTATGTGCATTGGCTATATATATTATAGTATCTACTCCCAAAATCCATAATTGGTAAGGCTTCATTCAAAGAGGATGTTAAATCGACAAATATCCTTAAAAGTAAAGAAAAAACTTTTGGGAAAAATGTGTTCATTCACACGCTGTGAACTTTCAAGCTGATGTGAGAGACTGAACTATAACAGAGTTCCAAAAAGGCCAAAAACACAATTTCAAAGCAATTTCAAAGCATCCAGTTATTGTGCACCGACCTTGAGGTCAGTTTACTTTCTAACTTTGAATAGGTCCCTGATGCCCTGCCTTCATCTGCTGCCACTGGCTTTCTAATAATAGACACAGAGCACAAAAGCCAACTGGAAACAGAGGGCAGCGCCCAGTATTTTCACTGATCAATGTGCTCATCTCTGCTGGAAACCATTGATTCACTGTTTGTATCAAATTGACCATGTTGTTGTTGTACAACTTCCACCCTACATTAAACCGTGACAAGCCTAGTTCATGTTCTACTTTGTCCTGTTGCCCAGCACCTTCTCTCAAAGCCACACAAACTATTGATCCACTTATGACACCAAAACAGGCTTAGCATTGATTAGAGTCTTTGGAAGATCATTCTTAATGTCAGCTGGTATTTGAATTAACTATTAACCAGAGAACACAAAGCGGAACTTTTCTGCCTGAATCCACAGTGTGCATTGCATCAGAGTCTCTTTGGCCTACATCAGTGAAACGCCTGCAGAAGTTAAATGCCTCCTCCCCACCATACAAACACACTAGCCCAAACAGACACATGTGACTTTGATGGAATCCAGCCAAGTTTAGCTGACCTTAGAAAATCCCTGAGGGATTAATAAAAACAAAGGTTCTCTGTTCAGAGGCATCCTTCCAATCCACATCCTGCTTGTCGAGACCATTTATGAGTGGATAATCATAGCATTATCCTCCCCAAGTGACTTGGAGCTATTATCTTAATATGATAACAAAATATATATTTTGTTATCACCACAGCTTTTGAGAAAAC